TTATCCTCTCTTTCTTCCTCGGCTTTGGTGTTTCCCAGTGTTCTGCCCCCTCTGTGGCTTCTCACCTGCACCCATGCCTCGTATCCACAGATCCATGGCTTTCAAGATTCTCTTTCCACTGGATAGGCAGCAGATAATCAGACTTAGCATGTCCACAGCACAGTTTATTACTGTCTTTCTCACAGACCTACTCTGCCTCCTATTATGTTTCTTAGGAGAGCAGTACAAAGCCATCCATTCACATGCTCAAGCTCAGAGGCTGGCAGTCAGCCTGGACTCCTCTCCATTCTGCTGTCTCACCTCCTATTGATTCTCCTTCAGAATTGTCTCTTATTTTATAACACAGCGCCCAGTTTTATCTCTTAACCCCCTGGCCGAATAACTACTTCAATCCAAAGGCTCTTAGATGTGGTGTCTGACGCATCTAATTGTGAATCCTGACTTGATGGCTTATTAACTGTATGATCTTTGGCAGGTTACTTAACATCTAAGTCTCTGGTCTATAAAATCAACACAGTGATACCTAATTCCTGAGGTTATTTTGAAGGTTAAAGTACTGTACACCCTATGTGGTCTGTAGGAATAACTCATAACTGTGTTTCTTGTTTTCATTATTGCTTCTTATGGCTGTGGGATTATTGAGGCCAGGTCTATCCAGAGCTGCGTGTGTCTGACAAACGGTAGCCACTGAGTCAGTGGCATTGTAATCTTTCCATGTGACCTCCAGTTCTCCTGTACTCTGGTGCTTCCTTCAAAAGACACTAGAGCTATCTTTTTAAACGACATTTTCCTGCTTTTAGCTCATTTCTTGGAGGAGTGAGCATGCGCTTAATCTGGCAAGCAAGGCGTCCTCCAGTCTCATCTGCGCATCCTCAGAAGCCTCACTTCCCATCTTCCCTCCTCCTCAGTTATGTGACATTTTTTTCACCACTTTGAATATGCCACACTCCGTACTGTCTCAAGCATCAGACTTGCTGTTCTGTCTGTTCACGTGTCTTCTTTACTCTTTATTAAAGATTAAAAAATATTTTATTAGTATATGTTTGCAGTCTAGAATATTTACCTTCCTGTGTGGGGTTGGTACATATACATAACATGTCTTAATGCTTTTGTCAATCCCCTTCCCTGCTCTTTATCCCTTAGGTCCCCTTCCCATTTGAGAAAGATCTATCTCCCTATTCCTATTACTAACTCTTATTCTGCTCTTTATATTTTGGGTTTCTTATGTAAGAGAAATCATTGATTTATTTCTGCCTGATTTATTTCACTTAGCATTATGTTATGGTCTCAGGCTGCATCCATTTTCCTACAAACAACTCAAGTTTATTTTTATGGCAGAGTAGTACTCCGTTGTGTAAAAATACCACATTTGCTTTATCCATCATCTGTTGATGGACATATAGGCTGCTTCCAAGATTTAGCTGTTATGACTCGTGTTGTTATAAACATGGGAATGCATGTAGCACTGTTATATGATGTCTTTAACTCTTTTGCCTTCTTGAGGGAAGGACAGTGTGATCATTGTCACAGTCCAGGGCCTGGCCCGTTAGGATGCGTGGCATTAGACACCATTCCTTCAGTGGTGAGTAGTGAGTGAAATGTCCTGGAAACAGTTCCAGAGAGCACCTCCAGAAATGTTCTTAGTTATCAATACTTTTGGAACAATCGCATGACTTTCCAGGTTGTCTCTTAAAAGGACAGTGTCAATGTGGTGCTTGTATTATTTGATACGTTTATAAAGAAGCCTTTCCGATGGATTTGTAGGCACTTGGAGAGAAAAGCCACCAAACTTTGCTAAACTGTTCCTTGGGATGAGATATCTGACATCCCTGTAATTGGATCTGGATCTCATCTATTCAGAGAGCATGGCACAGGCTGGAGGCAGATGGCATCTTTGAGATGTCATTTAAATTAGTCATAGTGAATGAGCAAAAAGGAAGGGCAGGAAAGGGAAAAGCTTCCTTTTCATCTCTGCTTGGGTGACAGAGGAACCCAGAGTGAGAAGGAAATTCACTTTATGGCAACCCAGGCAGAAGGTGAGGGATGAGATGTTTTCTTTTCCCTCTGGACCACACAGTGAGCTGGCAGCAGAGGGTTGTGTGAGTGAGCAGAGATGTCTAGAGGTCTGGGGATTGGAAGGACCAGAGAGGAAGGGGACAGGAACATTTGGGGCTTGTTCAGGCTGGTAAAAGACTTCATGCTGCCTATGGAGGTGAACTGATCATTGCATCTCTTAGGTTACCCAGGTGCACAAGTGGAATATTTCTTTGATTTCTGAATTATCTATGTCAGAGAAGAAACATTGATGTGGAGACATAAGGATTCTTGAGACAGTTACTAGGTGATCCCCTGATATCTCTGTAAGAGTTTGTGTGTTGTGGGATGGTTCAGTAAATATGTAAAATCTTCAGTGGGCAGAGAGATCAGCAGATCAGGTCAGTCTAAACTGGGCATTGGTTATGAGTAGGGGAGAAATGAATTAGCCCTAAAAAGTGTAGACTTTTTTTTTCCCGACTGGAAGGTTGAGAGGAGATTTTATAGAAGAAGGAACAGAAACTGAGTTGAAGAGGGTCATTTTCTGAGATGTTGTCCCATCGACACGACAGAAGTGTCTTTGTATACTCCCATGTTGGGGAACACAGGAGAAGGATTTACCTGCTAGCTCTTGTTGCCATGGGATTTTTAACTCCCCTGTACTTCCAAGTGCATGTGTTGTGGTATGGGAGCCACAGCAGGGAAGCCCCAGAGCAGGAGGCAAGACACAGATACATTCAAAACCTGTGTGGTGCCGGGTGTGAGGGTGCCACGTACCTGGAATCCCAGCTACTTGAGATTCTGAGGCAGGCGGATCTCGAGTTCAAAGCCAGCCTGGGCAGCGTATCAAAAGCTAATCACAAAAACAAACCATAACAACAAAAACAAAAAAACTGCAGAAGGCTGGAGCAAAGAATGGGTGAGACTGAGAAGAACTGAAGAATCATGATTCAGTGGGAAAGCCTGCATTGGGCTATAGAATACAAAGGGTGATGGAAATATACAGGGAATATTTAAACCTAAATAATTATTACAATAAGAGGCACACTGCCATTAATCTCCTGCCAGATGCTCTCACTTCAAACAAACTCAGCCCATCATTCTTGCCACTTTCTGAAGCAGTTTTGGAAGTCTTCTTTTGTGTCTTTGTGAAGTGTGCTAAAAATACAGTTAATGCTGCTGCTTAGTGTCCTGCAATGAAAAGCGCACCTTGCAAAAAACATTATAATGCGTCCTCAGCCACCTCATTCACTGGCTCTGGCACCATGTGACTTCTGGCTCTTCCGTAAAGCCAACCTGATGATGAAAGGAAAAGTTTTTTAATTGATTCAGGATGTGCATGACCGTACAACTGAAGATCTTCATGAAAGACTTCCAGAACTGCTCCAGAAAGTGGCAAGAAAAATGGGATAAGTGTGTTCAAATCAAGACAGAGGATTTTGAGGGGACTAATGGCACTGTGGCTTGTAATAAAAATTTTAAAAGAGTAGTAAACATTCACTATATTTTTTGATCACACCTCACATTTCTTTTGTTTTTTTTTGATGCTATTATAAATGAAATTGTTTTCTTAACTTCATTTTGAATTGCTTAACTTTGGTATATAGAAACACAACTGAGTTTTACACATTAATCTTGCATCTTTCAATTGAACTCCCTTTTTAGCTTTAATAGTTTTTAAATGTTTGAATTCCTTAGGGTTTCCTATATGTACGATTATAACATTTGCAAATAGAGACAATTTTAAGAAATTTTATTTTTAAGAAATAAAAAGCTAGATCCTCTCCCTGCCTCCCTCCTTGTCTAAATAACTTCCTAGATGGTCGGTCGAGTGGGCCTATTGGGAACTGTGTTACTTCAGGAAACCAAAGGCTTAACATTGTTTCCCGCATATACGTGGAATATATGCAGAATATTTAAAAGAGGCAGAGCCCCAAGAAGTCATGGCTTCTGAACGAGAAAATAGATTCATTCATAGGAAAATGGATACATATTGGAGATATACTCCTAAGTGAAATAAATAAGTCACACATGTGTAAATACCGAATAGTTTCCCTGGTGTAATAATCTGCAACAATGCATAAGATTCTAATAAGATTACTGACATTTAGAAATGGGAAGAAAGGAGCTAAAGGTGTAGGGAAGGTGGGATGGGTAGAGGAAGAGTAAAAAGGGAAAAGAAAAAAATGTGAGAGAATGAAAAGATGAAAATAAAGTGTTTGTAGATGGGGAGGGGAGGAGGGGGTGAAGGGAGGGCAGAGATAAGGGGAAAAAATGAGAATCAAGACTTGTCATGTAGAGGTACATGATCCCAACAATGAATGCAACTGTACTGTATCCCTAAAATGTACCAATAAACTCAATTAAAGCTGAAAAAAAAAAAAAAAAAGAAGTTATGGCTTCCTCATAGACCAGGATTACATGGCATCAGTCACAGGAGTCCTAGAAGTAACCAGGAACTTGGTGAAGAAGTGTGGTTCACCCCAAGCCGCTCCTGGGCGTGGTTCTGCGTGGTGCCACGTGTCATTTCCCTCCTGTGAACAGCGATGACTTGAATGAGTCCCTCACCACCCAGTTGAGATGAGGAAGGCAGGAGCAGGTTGTACCTGTGCGGTTGCAGGGGAAATTCCATTTGGGTCTTGGCTTGGGCCTCCTTCCTTCGCACACGAATGGAACGCCAGTGGCATCCAGTGGCCCATCAGGCTAATCACAGGTTGGCGTTCTTTCCTCAGGCAGGAGGAAAGGTGACTTCCCCACCAAGTCCAGTAGAGGGCTGGGCTCCTTCATGATGAACGAAAGTTGTATGATTGGCCTTAGATCCCTTGAGTTGATCAGTTCAGTATCTGAATCACAGTGTGAATGGTGATCAGCTGGGACAGCAGATGGACAGAGAAACTAATCTCCGTTAGGATTTTTCCAAAGCCCATTGGTACATTTTGTGAGTCAACTCTCTTTTTCTATTCTAGAAATAACGACAGAAATGAATAACGTATCAGTGTTTAATAACACCTGTCTGAGGTGGCAAATAAGCTCAGGAGGAATAAACTCCAAAATAATGTATGTGGTAAGGAATATCATCTACTTTTTTCTTGCTAGAACGGAAATGGTAAACCCATGGGACTGTATGAGTCAGAAGGACTTGCTTCTGTAAGAGCCTCTCATTTTCACTGCTTTCCAATTCCATTGCCATTTTAAGAAGTGAATGGCTTTTTAAAGATATCTGAGTTGTGTGTTATTTTACACTTTATGTTTTAGCATATGGTCATGTGACACGGTGTGTGTGTGTGTGTGTGTGTGTGTGTGTGTGTGTGTGTAGGGAGGGCTTTGTACTGACATCATCATCATTGCTTATTTCCAAGCACTCATATTTCACTTCCCCAGAGCAAGTCTGGAAACATCTGCTCACTTGGTGGCGGGTGCACAGGTGACCCTTGGTTGTGAGCCTCCACTTACTGAAGACCACTTACGGGCAGGATGGCACTTCCTAGAGGCCTCATTTATGTCACTGCCTAGGGTTATTGGTTACCAGCTTGATCAGACTTCCTCATCAGATACTTGGGGGCAGAAGTGGGCCTTGTATATCCTCTAAGTTGAGCAGTGCAGGGTGGGATAGAATGGTAGGCTAATTAGGCTCCAGTTCTGAAAAGTCTTTATTGTTCTGACTAGAGCTGTGGTGGGCTGTCTTGTCCTTTCCTCTCCTAAAGATAAACATAAAAGGACGACGGTCGGACCCTCTGGCATCAGTTCATGAGGAGACAGTCAACTTGACCACAGACAGCAGAACTCCGGAAGTGTGCCTCACCCTGGACCACGGCACGAACTACACGGTGAACATTTCCACCGCTCCTCCCAGGCGCTCTGTGCCTGCCATCCTTGGTTTCCAGACGACTGGTAGGTGGACGTGGAGACTCATTTCCTGCTGGGAAATGCCCAGCACAGGATGTGGCAATGAACTTTAGCATCAGCTGGGCAGGAGAGTTCCTGTTTTCTTTCTGAGATTTGTGCTTGGGGTGTCAGAAAGCAGAGCAGGTATGGAAGAGAGGTGCTTGTTCTATTAGCAGGGGGGCTGAAAGGCACTGGTGGGCACTTTCTTGGCCTTGCCTGTGAGAGAGGAGGAGTCGGGGAGGATGATCCAGCAGTTTCACATCCAGGATGGGAGCAGACCCCAGGATCGATAGGGGCTGGAGAATCAGATCAGGAGTGGGTGAGCGGAAAGGGGGAGGCAGCTGAAGGATCCAGGAGGGTCGGTATTGGTTGAAAAAAAGGAGTGGACCCATAGCTTTAAGAAGTAGGAATAAACTTCATTTCATATAATTGTCATGGGGTTTTTTAAAACAACACTGTAACAATTATAGGAAGTTTGTTTTAAAAAATATAACTCTTATTTAATAATACCTTATAGACAAACCTGGAGAAACCATTGGTGTCATTTATGAGTTAATTAGCTCTTTGATGACCCACTTAAGAAAATCTGCATTGGTGGAGTAGCACAGGAGTTTAATCTCACCTATTTAGGAGGCTGAGGCAGGATGATTGCATGTTGAAGGACAACATAGTCAATTTAGTGAGACACTGTTTCAAAATAAAAAGCATGGGGGATGTAGCTCAATGGTAGAGTTTTTGCCTATCATGCTTAGGGACCTGGGTTCAATCCCTAGTAGTACCTCCTCCCCGATATACATATACGTCCTAAATCTTAGATATTGCTGCCACTAGGTACTGGAAAGTGACAAAAATTGGACAGAAATAACTAAAAAGTCTGCCAGTTTTAGGAATATAAAACCAACTGCAAATTACACAAATTAAGCCTCTTGGTATTTGTATATAAAATAAAACAAAATTACTTCTTTTAAGCAAGTAATATGTAGGAAAGATTATTATAAAATTAATATACAACTAAATTTATAAAATTAGTAATAAACGACAGTGGAATTGTAGGGCTCTATCTTCTTTCAGAAATCATCCCAGGACCTCAAACTGGTCTGTCACTATGAGTGGGAATGACAGCTTTCAGTTCAGTGTCGGCTGTTTTTACTGAGGTCTGTTTAACCTCTTGGGTGACTTTCCACTGGGCAGAGCCTCCTCGTCTTTGAAGTCAGACCTGGGAGCAAAGTGTACTTCCTGTTTGTTTATGCACTGGTGTACATTTCTCACCCGATTCCCCTGGACACTGTGCATTTTGTTGTTTGATTTCCTTACCAGGGTTATCCCAGTGCCCTTAAAACGAGGCAGGAAGTTTGTATATGTATTCACCCTAGAGAAGTTTCTGCCACTTTGGAATTTCTTTCTTTCTTTAAACCTGGACAAATTTGCTTATACGATCATTTAACTTTCACCCTTTCATGGAGATGACAACTTGGTCATTTTCTTCCATGATCTTTGGTCTGTTTCCATTTTTTAGATATTCTGAGTTAATTTGTGTAATTTATATTTTCTTTAAAATGTCTATTTGGTTGAGGTTTTAAATGTATTAGAAAAATGTTATAGGAGATATTTGTTTGCAGCTACTTTGGAGTTATAGGTTGCCTAACCCCAGGTTATTCTGATTCCTGATTTTGTTTTGTTCTCTCCTTTAAAAAATATACTAGCTTGTATTGCCTGTTTTATCACTATTCTCTTTTTCCAAAGAATGAACTCTTGGGTTTTAAAATTTTTTCTCATTTTCTATTATTTTTGTTATTTCCATCTCCATGCTTCTCTTGAGTTGGTTGTATTGTTCTATTTTTGTATTTTTTTTTGTACCTAGAATCGAACTTAGGACCTTCCTCTTGCCAGGCAGGCAGGGTACCACTGAGCTAAATCCCTGGCCCCATACTATTCTATTTCTAAATTCTTGAAGGCATGATTCAGCTTATCCCCATTCTTTCTTATTTGCTAATAAAATCCTCAGTGCCTCTTTCTACCTTCTGGATTTGGGTTTTCAGACTCTCGAAGGCCTTGGCACACATTCTCTCTGTTCTTACTCTCAAGTCATGATAGAATTGCTATCGGATTTCCTTTTGGTTGAAAAATTATTTACGAGTATGTTAATATGTGTTCTCTTTACCCTTACTTTCAAAGAATTGTGTTGATTTTCCCCTTTGATTGAAGAGTTACGTATAATTGTGTCATACAAGTGAAATTTTTTTTCTTTGTAATATTTATACCTTATTAATAATTTCTGGCTTGGGAAATTTATTGACATTTTCTTGGGCCTTACTTTCTGTCCATGTTTTATTTTTTTAGTAGGTGCTGGATGATGTGGTAGAGCATTTGGATAGAGTTGGAGTAAGATAATAGTTTTAAATCAACTTTATTGATAAAAACTCTCCAGGTCTCTGTATTTCTGTAATAGATTGCCATTTTTCTCAATTTCCGTGACATATTTTAGGTGGTTTGTTTCACAAATGCTGATGTTACATAATTTACGTTCATGACATCTCAATTATAAATGCTTTCACTAGTAGCAAATGGTTCACTTGATCCTGTTAAATATTATTTTCTATAAATTATACATAATACTATTTTCTTGATTTCTTTGTGCTTATACTTACATAATATGCTTTAGCTTCCTTTTTCCTTCTTAAAAGCTATCTGGATAATATTATTTTTATGTGTATTCTAGGAATTAGCAAATGCAGAGATTCTTTCTGAGGAAAGTTTTATTTAGGTATTTTTGTTTTTCTGACACATGGTCCTATTTTGTAGTCCAGAGTGGCCTTGAACTAGTGATCCTCCTGCTTCAGCCTCCTGAGAGCTGGGATTGCAGAGTTGTACCACCATGTCTGGCTAAAAGTTTATTTATTTAGTTAGTTATTTATAAAGTTTTATTTTTGAGTAGTAGCAAATTTACATTGCTATTACTTGTGATATGATTTTCCCTTTCCTCTATCTTCTTATTTTTTCTTTTTTTTTTGCTACCATCCTATGTCTTTTGGTTTTCTTTTTTGCTACCAAGATTTCTTTTTCAGTGAGTCAGATTTTGTTTTTATTCTATAACTGTTCAGGCATTTTAAAAATATCCTGCCAGGCGTGGTGGCACGTGCTTATAGTCCCGCACTCAGGAGACTGAGACAGGAGGATTGCCATGAGTTTGAGCTCAGCTTGGACCATATAGTGAGTTCAAGGCCAGCCTGTGTTAAAAAAAAAAAAATCCTGTTTGGGTATGTATTTTTCTAATTACCAGTGGTTTTTTTGTTTGTTTGTTTTGTTTTGTTTTTTTGGTACCGGGGATTGAACTCTGGTCCTTGCACTTGTGAGGCTGGCAGTGGAACCACTGAGTTAAATCCCTGGCCCTCATTACCAGTATTAAGACTAAAATAATGTTTACTTCTCCCTGAATAAGATGAAGAAATTAACATTCATTACTTGCTTTTATTTCTTCCTCTCTTCCTTTCCAAATTGGTCTAATATGGCATTTTATTTTCAGCTTTTTAATTTTCTGCTTATTTATAGCAATATCTATAGCAGTTATTTAACCATATGTGTTTATTTATTGATTGATTGATTGATTGATTGATTGAGACAGGGTCTCACTATGTAGTTCAGACTGACCTGGAATTCACTGTGTAGCCCAGGCTGGTCTTGAACTCACAGTGATGTTCCCTGCCTCAGCCTCCCAAGTGCTGGGATTACAGGCATGCGCCACCATGCCCAGCTTCATATGTATGTATTTTAATAGTTTTAATTCTACCAGTTTTTTGTTCACTTTTTCTATTTTTTGTCTATTTTTATTTATCTGTCTGGATGATAATTTCTATCTTTTCTCTACCGAGGAAATGGGGTATTTTCTGAGCCCATGATTACCTGAGAGTGTCTTTTTGTTCTTTATATGTGAATGAGAGTCTGATAGAAGATAAAATTCTTGAATCTTAAACTTTTGTTCTGTGAGTTCTAGCAGCAGTTCGTATTGGCTTTGAGAATTTAATGCTTTGAAAGAAGAGTTGGGAGGAATGACTTCCTTCCTTTTTCTTTCCCTCCCTCTCATCCCCCTCTTCCTTTTTCTCTTTCTTTCTCTCACTTTTCCTCTTCCTCCTCTTCTGCCTGGAACCCTGGGTCTCTCGTATGCTGGCCTTGTGTATGCTGTGCATATGCTTTACCCCTGACCTACACTACCAGCCCTTTTTATTTTCTTTAATAAAATTCTGTGTAGGCAATGTAATTTTCAGCATCAATGTCATAGAAACTTCCTTTAGCTGCAAAATTAAAGATATTATTCATTCGTGTACCTTATAAATATTTATTGACCACCCATTATATGTGTGCCATTGTTACAGGCATTGGGAATTCAAAAGTGAATGAGAGGGAAATATTTTCCCTCATATCAGTCTGTGAGTGATACAAATGTTAATTTTTTTACAGAGTTTTTTTTTAATAATCTGTAATAAGTTTTGGTCATTTTCTTTCATTACATTTTTTTTTTTTTTGAGACGAGGTCTCTATGTATTTCAGGCTGGCTTTGAACTCACTGTGTAGACCCGGCTGGCCTTGAATTTGCAGCGATCCCCTGCCTCAGTCTCCTGAATGCTGGGATTAATTACAGGGGTGTGCCAACATGTATGGCTCTTTCATTACACTTCTGATGATTGCTTTTTTTTAAAAATAAAAGTTGTTTTTTTTTTAAAGTAAAAGATACATTTTAATTCACCATGCTTAATTAAGACACTTATATATTAAGCTCAGAGATACACAAAAATATCTATGTCAACTCCTATTTTTATATTAAACTCTACAGATATACATAATTTAGATATTTAAGTGATTTACTGAAAAACAATGTATGTACTTTAGGATCTCTATCTAGGATTTTATTTTTGGAAATTTTATGGAGAAATATTAACCTTTAAGCATTTTGTATTATGGGAGTAATTACGGGAGTAATTATATCACTCTACTGCATAAGAAATTTTCACAGGATTTTCAAAATGGGCTTACATATATAATTTCTCCCCAGTGAGATTTCTGTCATGTATTTGACAATACATGTGTACTGAGAGCATTCCAACATTGCTTATATGCATATGGTTTCTCCCCATTGTGTCTTTGGCAAACACCAAGCTTTCCTGCATTGCTTACATGCATACAATTAATGCTGAGTGTGAGTTCTTTCATGTATTTTACAATAACATTGTGTACTAAAAGCTTTTCCACATTGCTTCCATACATAGGGTTTCTCCCTTGTGTGAATGTTTTCCTGTATTTTACAGTAATCTTGTGTACTAAAGGCTTTTCCATATTGCTTACCCTACATAAGATTTCTCCCTAAAAGGTTTGTTTTGACTCTTCCAGTTCCACTATATTAGATTTCCAGCTGTCCATGTTGGTTTCCCATTTTCTCCATTTCTTTCTCCCTCCCATGAATTGTAGTTCATTTGTTCTCTACACCCATTTGTACATTTCTGCGTTGATATTTCTGATCTTTATCATATGCATTTAAATTCTGTTGTACTTTAATTTCCTCTCCTGCTTTTTTTTGTTGTTCTCATCTACTTCCTTTTTTATTTCTACTTTTGTTGTTTATTTTTCAAATTAAAAAAATTTTTTTTGTTTTTTTAATTTTTAAGACAGAATCTCACCATGCAGTTCATGCTGGCCTTGAATGCACTAAATTGCCCAGGGTAGCCTTAAACTTGAGATCCTCCTGCCTCTTGAGTGCTGGGATCATAGGTGCGCACCACCATGCCTGGCCTAACTCTGCCTTTGTCAACCATTTTCCTCTTTGCTATTACATTCTCGTTATCTTATCCTTTATCTCTCATTGGAATCCATTTTAAAATGTTTTTGTTAAGGTACGAAATGAATGCTCCATGATATTACCATCGCTTTGCTCAAAATTCTTTTCAAAACTGTGCTGATTCTTTGCTTCCTAAGTGTGATCTCCCATGCTTTGGTAGAATCATATGATAGCCCTTTTGGGGTGGCGGTGGTGGTGGTGGAGGAAGTGCTTCTAGACAACCTGGATAAAGATTCTGTCTTGGTCTCATTTCCTTCGCAATAGAATGGATAGCATTCCCTTTGATGTCATTTTTTTTTAGTGTAATAGCTCAGATCTCCTTGTGAAGGATTTGCTGTTGATTGGGTGAGCTACTCTCTTTTGGAGCAGCTGTGGGAAAGCCTACCACCCTGAGCTTTACTTCTGAGCACTTTGCCATCTTGACTCCTGAAGCTGTTGACGTTGGGCCAGCTCAGCATTGCTGGCTTCATTCTGTTGCTGCCTGGAGAAAGGAAAGAGGCTGGTCTTTGTGTTACCAAGGCTTTCTGCCTAGAGGAACCTCCAGGTTCCAAGGTCTCTCCTTTGAAGTTACTGGTCTCTACTGCACTGAGAAATTATTGTTATTAGTGTAGTGATGTACAGCTATCCTTTTGTGTCCTGACTGCCCATCAGAACTGCCTGGTGACTTAAAAAAAAAATGCAGATGTATGAGCATTACTTCAGATCTGCTGTGTCTGGGTGATTCTGACATAGGGTCACTGGGCTAACTGGCTTCAAAAGGACATTCATCACTGACTTGTCCTGTGTCCTGTCTGGATTCCTCTGTGGCCACCAGTTCCTCTCAGTTCCTTCCTTTGCAATGTGGAGACGGTTTTCCTTCACCTGGGAAGCATTTTGCATAGTAGCTCTCAGTGTCTTCCTGTATCCTGGTCTCTTCCACAGTGTGCTAAGCAGAAATATCTTTACGTTTCAACCTTGTGTGTGGCAACTAACCTTTCTTCCAGCCCAGATGCAAATTTTGACCCATTTTTATTTTTTCCTCAGTCATTTCTGTCAGGATTGGGCGTAGGAAGTGGAAGCCAGATGCCTTTGTTCACACTGCCGTCTTCCCCTGCGTTCCGACTCTAATGGCTGTGTGATGTGTGGAATTATGCAGACAGTCCACCTCCTGCTTATGTTGTCTGTGTGGCATTTCTTACGTACATTTCTTACATAGGTACGTTTGGTGTTCCTCAAGATTACAAGCTTATGTATGGCTATTTTTCTCCCTGATGTCCTTATTAAACCTTTAAAATAAAAGTTGCGAGGATAAAAGAGAGCACATATGATAGATCTTCAAATTCTTTTTCATAATCATATTTTTGCATTTTCTAGTTATAGTCCGGAATATTTTCTCTTTGTTCCCTTGTGCTGAATATGTTAGTGTTATTGAAAACGCTGAGGACAGATCTGATTTTGATTAGAATAATTTATTGTTATTATGAATACTTCTTAGGCTGCAGAGATTCCCATGGGAGAAATGCACATTAAAGGTAGTTATAAAATAGCTTTTGTCTGGTAGACATTTAAACTGTTTTGGAGGTTGGCTAAGTATCTTAGTGTAGAGCAGGTGCTTCCCTCTCCCTCTCTCCCTTTCTCTGCCTCCTTCTCTCCCTTTTTCTCCCTCCTTCCCTTTTCCTAATCTGTCCTATTTCCTCCACTTTTCCTTCATACTAGGTGTTGGACCCAAGACCTTCATATTGAACTACATACCTAATTCATTAAAAATAAAAAGAAAATTTGATACAGGTTCATACTAAGTTGCCCAGACTGGGCTTAAACTTGTGGTCCTCTTGACTTAGCCTCCCAGAGTGCTGGGGTTACAGATGTGCGCCATCACATCTGGTTCCAGAGAGTATGCTTTGCTTTTGTGAAGATCTCATTTCAGTCCTGAGCATTGAGAAGAGAAGAGAAGAGAGCACATTTTCTCATTGTGGAAAACAGAGGCTTGTTTGTTAGGAAATTTGCTTTTCCTTAAAAATTACCATGTTTCTCCTGGACTCTCTTTGAATTGTTTAATTCGTTGTAAGAAATCTTGTCTTTTTTGGCTGTATGAAGGAAATGAAACACTGCAGGAATGAATTTGACTGGGGAGGTATGAAGTAGCTTTTTCTGTACAACGGTTGAAACCAATCTGCCTTCTGGTTATTTTATTGCTTTAGCTGAGCACAGACAAATAGCTCTTGAAATGCTATCTCCTGTGAAAATATTATCTTCCTGCCTGGTCATTTTCTGCATTGGAAAGCACCTGACCTGAGACTTCAGGGCCTTTGATTTTTATTCATCTTTTTGCTTTATCTCAGACTTTCTGATACATGACAGTTTCCCAAGTGATAGGGTTAACTTTGACAAAACCATAGCTTTATTAGTTTACAATAATATTTAAATATTTCTTTTGTTTATCTCAATAGTCTGAGGTATCACTTAATTTCACAAATTAGGAAAATGACACTCAAAAGATTTAAGGAACTTGGGTGAGGTTATACAGCCAAGAAATTTTGAAGCTGGGGCTCAAAGCTAAGTCTGCTGATGCCAGATTTAATGCTGTTCTGGTTAAAACACCGTAAGAGTTCTCAGTTTCATTTGTACTTAGCCATGATATTTTGTCTTGATGGTACAACTTGTCTATATTTTCTCTTGTCTTTTAGAAGACGATTTCTTAGAAGATGATGGAATTTTCAATATCTCAGTGTTTAATGAAACTTGCTTGAGACTGAGAAGGCATTCTAGGAAAGCTGGAACAGAACAAATGTACCAAGTAAGAAGATCTCTTATGCTATCTGTCAAAGAATTGGCCACTTAACAATTTGCATAATCACCAAGTTAGAATCCAAAGTATTTAACAACTACTAATGGAATGAACTTCTAGACAGTTGGTGATTATTGTTTCTGGAGACTGATGGGAGGTGTGAAATGGGTATAAGTGAGTGACTAAATTGAAAGAAAGAAACAATATTTGGTGACTTTCTATCTTTTCCTCTGCCTATACTTCATGTTTCTATTCTGTTGTAGGCATTTAATGATTACACTTTATTTTTTCATCAAATTTATATATGGGTAAGGATTCTCAAGGAACTTATTGTAGGGCTTTTGGCTCTCATTTAACTTAGAGAGAGAGAGAGAGGGAGGGAGGGAGGGAGGGAGGGAGAGGGTTTACTGGGGTTTGAACCTATGATCTTGTAGATTTGGCAAGCACTCTACCATGCAGCCACACCCCCACCCCTAATTTAATTAATTATTTGTTTTTGTTTTTTGAGACTATGTAGTGGAGACTGACCTGGAACTCATTTTGTAGCCCAGGCTGGTCTCGAACTCATAGTGATCCTCCTGCCTCAGCCTCCCGAGTTGCTGAGATTACAGGTGTGCGCCACCACGCCCAGCCTATTTAATTTTTTTTTTTAACATCACAAAGTCATAAGTAAATTCAAGTGTGAACTGAGATTTTTGTGTTACTTTTAGTGTCTAGGAAATCATCTGACAGGGCCGGGGTTTTGGTTCAGTGGTTCTGCTGCCTGCCTCGTAAGTGCAAGGCCCTGAGTTCGATCCCCGGTACCATTAAAAAAAAAAATCTGGGAAAAAAAAAAAAAAAGAGAAAATCATCTGACAGAGAGCAGGAAGTATTAAGTTAAAATTAATTGTTCACAGGCTTGGGATGTGGCTTAGCATGCACAAGGCCCTAGTTTCAATCTCAAATACTGCTCCCTTAAGAAATCAATTATTCATTCCATAACTATGTACCAAAAGAATATCACATATTTGGACCTAGAACTTCCAGTTCAAACAAATAGAAGTATATAAATAAACAGGTAACTACTGTATGGTATAATGAGTACTTTAATAAAAAATAGTCAATGGACTGGGAGATTTTTTTTTGTATGTGTATGTCTGTGGGGGGGGCTAGGTACAATTTTTTCAATGAGACGTAAAGACTGCTGAGTCATCGAAAATGAATAGGAATTAGCCATTTACAAGAGCTGGAGTGAGGGTAAGGAAGGGTATCGTGGGTAAATAAATAGCATATTGGATAGTAGAGAAAGCAAAGGGGAATAGGGAGAGATAAGCCAACATCTCAGCAGTAGTCAGATCGTAAGAAGCCCTGTATGCTATGCATTTATTTACATTTGAATTTTAGTTTTATATCTGTGTAGACACACTGAAGGATGTTTAAATAGGTAAGTAAAATTAAGTAGTTAGGTAGGTAAGTAAAACATTTCCATCTTATAAACAATCCCAGGGCCAGGAACATATTCACATAGACAAGTAATTTAAATCAGTAAAGAATGGAATGCTTATTCAGTAAATGGTTCAGGGGCAATGAGTTGGTTAATTATCTAGTTAAGAAAATAAAGAGAAAACAATTATTCTAAGAAGAAAATAGATGATTGAAGAGTCAAATTGCAAAAAATTGGTGTTTGCCATGATGTGCAGGACAAAGATTACTTGATGTAACATGTGAGACCCTCTGAAGTCCACTGGGAAAAGTGAACATTCAAAATGCTTTTCATGAGAGATTCTTTATATTCCTCAAATGCATAACACATGTTGTACCTCACTAGTAAGTGGACCGGAAGAATAGCGCACTGTGTGATCTGAGCATTTTGCAGTCCAGGGTGTGGCTGTGGCTGTGGCTGTGGGTGGCTGAAGTGGAATGGAGGACGTTTATAGCTGTGGAGCTCAAGGAACTCTGAGGCCAAGTTCTGATAGCATATCTGTGAGGATACTTTCCTGATCTAAGAGAATTCCAGAAGTTGAAGGTGAGAGGAATCCTTTGAAGGTTTCAAGGATTTGCACGGCCTGGTAGATTGGTGTGTACAAGTCTGTTATTGGCAGTGATGAGGAAGAATAGAGAGTAGGATAGTGTTGACCTGTGCATCAGTGGAAACAGTAAACAGATGGTTTCTAGCAGGTAAAGTGCATGATCTTGGCTGATCATGTTTCTCCTGAGAGTGTCACAAAAGTGTTTCCCCAATAGCTCCCTGTATCTATTGCCTGTGTGGTGATGGGTGGACTATGACTGAGTTAGCAGTGTGTGTGATCACTCAATGGATCAAAAGCTCTTTTCCCAGAGCTCTAATGGGAAAAATCAGTGAATTACCATTGCCTAGTTTTAAATGCATAATCTGGGTAGTCCTCATAAAGTTTAAGTATTCTGCACTGTGAGACTTGTTTTTTGTTTTTTTATTTTTATTTTTTGGTATCAGGGGATTGAACTCAGGACCTTGAGCTTGGGAGGCAGGTGGCAGAAGCACTGGGCTAAATACCTGGTCCCCTGTGAGACTTGTTTATGAATTTTTTACAATGAAAATAAATTAATGGAATTTTGCCCAGTAAGTCCAGTGCGATATCTTTCACTTACATGGGCATTGAGGGATTACTTTAGAATAGCCTGGTTTATTCATCTGCGATGTATTTATTCATCTGAGATTTGTCTGTAATGAAATTTACTCTTAGTCCTACACTAAGGGAAATTGAATGGGATAGGCAAGGTAGCTTTGTAAAATCTGTCCCCAGTGCAGCTCATTTTGTATTTAAAATAATTCTGAATGAGAGAAGATAAATAGAAGGAACTCCCTTGTTTTATCTCCATCTTATATCTGCAAGCAACAGAAAATTTAATGCAACATTTTCTTTTAATCCCATGACAGTTTAAAGTCCTGGGTCAAAGGTGGTACCTGGAGAACTTTTATCATGAAACATTTAACTTTACAACAAGCGAACAAGCTCCAAAAGTGTGTTTGGATCTGTATCCAGCAACTGATTATACAGTGAATATCACCCTGCTGGGACCTTCTGAGCAGCACTCAGTGCAAATAATAATGATGACTGCACCATCAGGTAGGTGAGGATGTCTTTCCCTTTGTACCCGGGACAGCGTGTGAACAGAACTGTGCACAGTGGGGCAGAGTAAAAGATGGAGGTCAGGAGATTTGGGTTCTAGTTCTAGCTCCCCCTAGTGGGGAGGGATGCAAAATTCTCTACCATTTTTTGTTTAATCCCCTGGGTTTAACAGACAAATTCACAAGCAGCCAGGAGAAGAGGCTGTATAGGACCTGCTTCTGCCTCCTTGAGGCCTGTCTCTCATGTTCACCACCGCTCTGGGTGGGTCCAAGGTGGACAGTTTGGCCTTTGCATTTAAACTACAATAAATGCATGAGATGCTATTACTTTTGTTGTTTCACAATTTAGCAAGCATAAGATTTATCTGAAGAGCTTATTAAAACATAGGCTCCTGGGCCTCATTGCACAGATTCTGATTCAGTAAGTCTGGGATGAGACCTAAAACTTTGGTTCCTTGCAAACTCCCAGGTCTTGATGATCCTTCCAGCCCATGTTTTGAGACCACTGTTTCAATCACACGGATCTTAGCTACTTCTAGGCAGTTTAAAGGTCACAGGTAGAGGTATGATGAAAACAAAAGCGAAAATAAGTGATAGTTAAAATAATTCTATCTGCTCAGGCCTTAGAAGCCTGCATATTAAAACTTTGCCTTGGTCAGGTGTGGTGGTGCGCACCTGTAATCCCAGCACTTAGAAGGCTGAGTGAGGCAGGAGGATCACCATGAATTCAAGGCCAGCCAGGGCTATGCAGTGAGACCCTGTTTAAAAGAACAAAAAACAAAGAACAAACAAACAAAAAGCACCATTGCCTAGTTGTTGAAACTGTCCTGATAATTATGTATTCACTATGTCTGTTCCTGCATTCCAGCTGCAGAGACTAAATCCCCAACCTTCCCCGTGGTACTCTATCCTCCTGTGGCAGCTCTTGCATTTATACTATAGGTCCAAATCAGTATATCCATATTTACAGGTGGAAACTGAGTCCTAACTCTCCTTTCCACCTGAGATTGCTTAGGATGAATAGCCAGACAAATGAGAAATGAAGCATCTATTTTATTGATCAGGGCAAGTTCCCAGGAACTGACCCCAAAAAGATTTCAGATAAAAGCTTTATTGGAGGAGAAGGTTTAGATATCTGGGCAACTGGGTTTGAAAATAAGCCTTGACTGGCTTATCTGCCCAGTGTCAGCTGAGCAGCAGAGGAAAGGAACCCTTGGAGACCAGACCTATATGAAGTGCCCCATGTGTCTGAACACAGGCAGGTCCCAGAGAGGAAGCACCTGCCTTTTCGGTCAATCCCTGGGAACTCTTTGCATTAGGAAATGTGACTCAAGCAATAGTATCCTTCTGTCAGTCAGAGTGCATATTTGCTGTTCCTTCCTTGAGGATCAGTGAGTAGGTAATTGTCCTTTCCTTTATAGAAACGAGAAGGTAAGTGGTGACCTTTAACACACTTGAACAAGGTCATTGACTCCTGTGATTTTTGAGGCTTGACCAGGAAATGTCTATTGTAGTCCCAGGAATCTATGTTAGGAAAGGAATTCGAATTACTTTCAGGCTCCTTCAAATTTATTATTTCTTGATTGATCTGTATACCATATTAATTTTATTTATTGTCAAATGTTATAAATATTATTATTGATATGTATGAATATTTAAGGTACTCTGAGCATTAATCCTTTATTGTTTATGTCAAACATTTTCCTCATTTTATGGTTTCTTTTAATTTAATCTGTGATGTTTTTGACATACTAATGTTTTAGATTTCTGTATAGTCAAATCTTTTGATATTTTCCTTTGTGATTTATTACATTGATATTTAATATATAATTTTAGAAAGAGTATCTATATACTACTTTATTTCTAGTGACTAAGTGACCTACATGACTCTATAAAATAAAAGATAATAGGTTATAAATCTAAGCTAAAGAACAAAAACAAAGGCAGGGACATAAAAATAAAAGAATAAGAATAATTCATATCCTTATAACACATTTACTTTTCATTGCTGGCTCACAAATTTGAGCTTACATTTTCTGCCTGCCTGGCCAAAAAGGGAGCCATGACATGGTCTTACTGTTTTTCAGAAGGTGTGCAGGTTTTTTCAACAGGAAGGTCAGATTACTATTCAGATCCTGATTTCAGGGCATCTCATAAATAGGATAAGGGATGAGTAGCATTTTACAAGGAATTTGTAAGACTACTTTTAAGCAGTGTTTCCCTTTTACATGACTCATTTTATTATAGAAAAGCACAGTTCAGTGTGTAATAGACAAGGGAAGATGTACCAGAAATTCCTGCTCTCTGCCTGTCTGGCTTGTACCGGGGACAGGGCAGGGTTACTCAGACTATCTGCAGGGATGGCTGGAGTGCATTTCTCTCAAGCAATGTTTCAATGTTTCCTAAATATTGTTTCTCTCAACTGAGGTGATGTCATCGAGCTCCAGACTGTTCTCTCTCATCACTTCTAGGAGTAGTTGTCCTGTAATGTCAGCTGAATGACAAGGCCTTGTGCCTGGGTAGAAGGTTGCCTGCCTCTACTAGAAGGTTGAATCTTGGGAGCTGAGCCGAGGGAATTGTCTGAATCTGCTCTGCCAATGGGTGCTGATTGAGCTCCCCAAATTATCTCCATATGTAGTCGTATTCTTTTAGCCTGAAAAATTTCATGGTAGTTGTAACCAGATACCAAATTTGTATAAAAAAAGTTTTAATAAAATAACAGCAAACCTCCTAGCTTTGAACAGTTTTATGTCTTCTTGTTCTCTCTAAAGTTCTCCCTAACTGCTCAAAATAAGTATGTCAAGGATGACTAAAATGACACCACTATTTATATAGCTGCTATGCTTTGAGACCAGTGGATTTATAGCCATTCTTTCTGACAATATTTAAATTGCAAAGTAAACTTTCTAATTTGGCTATTTCTAATTAGACATTTAAAAACTGTATCATTTGTGTATAAAAGCAAATTTTCTTTTCAGCTCTTTTTAGCAGAGAATTGCCTGCATTTAGATTATTTCTAAAATAGTGTTGGTAGCCAGGTGTGGTGGTACACTCCTGTAAGCCCTATATTCAGGAGGCTGAGGCAGGAGGACTGACATGAGTTCAAGACCAGCCTGGGCAACATAGTGAGACCCTGTCTCAAACAAAAAACAACCCCCCTCCAAACAGTGTTGGTAAATAAAAGCAAAAAAAACTAAAAGAAGAAAAAGAATATTCTTTCCAGAGAATAAAGCTCTAGAAATTCATAGCTCTAATTTTTTGATTGACACATAATATTTGTAGAATATATTTATGAGCTACGATGTGATATTTTGATTCATGTATATTTTGAGTAATGATTGATCCACTTGAAGTAATTGGCATATCCATCACCTTAAATTTTTATTATTTCTTTGTGATGATTACATTCAAAATCCTATTTTCACTGGGCATGGTGGTGCACACCTGTAATCCCAGCACTTGAGAGGCTGAGGCAGGAGGATCGCTGTGAGTTTGAGACCAGCCAGGGCTACATAGTGAGTTCCAGATCAGCCTTAACTACACAGTGAGACCCTGTCTCAAAAAACAAACAAACAAACAAACAAACAAATCCTATTTTCAAGTATGTTGAGATATTTAATATATTAATGTTAATAATATTCATTCTGCTGTGCTATAGAACACTAGAATTCTTTCTAACTATAAAGCAGCAAGGAACATTTCATGAATTTGCATGTTATCCTTGCCCAGGGGCCATGCTAATCTAATGTTCTCTGTATGATCCCAATGTTGGTATATACAAGAGGAGATTGAAATATATGGTGTATGCTTAAATTATAAAAAATATATAGTAAAAGACACATTGCCAAGAACAATGGGATAAGTGTGTTCAAAATGAAGGGGTATATTCTGAGTATTTTGAGGTGGATTAATGGCCGTGTTGTTTATTGTAATAAATATTTTAATTTAAACATTAACCATATTTTTGATTACCCCTTGCTGATCAGACATTTACGTTAACTTCTGTTAAACAGAAACATTATGGTTGTCCTCATCCACCTTCTTCGCTGGATCTGGCCCTGTGCTAATTCTGCCTCTTCCTAAAAGTCAAAATGCCCATGAAAGATAAATATTTTAAGTCAATTCAGAGCATCAAGGCAGCCACGACAGTGCAACTAAAGCACCCATGAAAGAGGACTTCTGGAAATGCTTCCACAAAGTGGCATGACTGATGGTGTAGTGTATTTGAAGAGAGGGGAAATATTTTGAGTTGGATTAGTGACAATGTGTCTTTTACTGTAATACATTAAAAAAATTAAACATTCACTGTGTTTTTCAGTCATGCCTTATATAACTGCTGAGATGGGTACAACCATAGTGTTTACAGTAGCTTCAGGATGCATAAACAATTTAAGATCTGTGGGGACCTTAAAATCTTTCCCTAGGGCTGGGGATTTAGCTTTGTGGTTCTGCTGCCTGCCTTGCAAGCGCAAGGTCTGAGTTGAATCACTGGCACCAAAAACAAAAACAAAAAAACTTTCCCTATGACTGATTTCTGTGCACATAATCAAAATCCAAACAAAAGATAGTGAAGACTATCATTTATTTAACATTATTTTTAATAGTGTCCACAGAATGATAAGTATTATAACAATATTCTATGGTGGCAGCGTTATGGCTGAAAGCTACCTGTTTCTTTATGGACCATTAGCTTGATGAAATCACATTTGTAGCTGGACAAGTTAGAAATTGGCATATATTTTATACAGAAGAGCCAATCACCTATAATGTGCCAAGTATGGGGAGGGAAATGGTTCTATTTTTTCCCCCCACTAAGTTTATTGGTACATTTAAAGCAAACAATATAGTTACATTTATCATCGGGATCTTGTACCTTTACATGATATGTCTTGGTTCTTGTTTTCCCCCTATTCCCCTGCCCTCCCTTCACTCCCTTCGCCCTTCCCTACCTATTTACAAAGACTTTGTTTCCTTTTTTTCATTTTTTCTTTTCATTTATTTCCTCTCCCCTCCCCTTCCACTTTAGGGAAATAGTTTTTTTTTGTTTTTTTTTTAAATATGACATTGTAGATCTAGCTAGGTGGAACCGTACCCATCGTATTTACTCATAAAGATGGCTAAGTTCTTTGGAATCAGAGCCTTCTACTACATGGCCTCAAGTGGCTTTGCAGGTAGTGGGCTTGTCTCATTCTTCTCAGGACCTCCATACTCTAATCATGTATAAGGACAAAGAAGCCCCAAGAGTGTTCCTAGGCTGAAACAGAAAAGATCACTTCCGTGCTAGTCTGGGTTTCTGTCCCCTCTAAAACTCATGTTGAAATTTAATTCCCAAAGCCATAGGTTAATTGTATTTGGAGGTTGGGCCTTTGGGAAATAATTATGACGAATGATGCTTTGAGTGTGGGGCCTATGATTGCTTTAGTGGCTTAGTAGGAAAAGGGAGCAAGATGTAAGCAAGCTTGCTGTGACCATGTGATGCCCTCTACTGTGCTGTGACCCAGCAGGAAGGCCTCACCAGGTGCTGAGCGAATCCTAGTGTCAGGTTTCAGAACTGACAGCAGAATAAACACCTTGCCCTTATGAATTACTTTACCTAGTTTGTAGAAATAGTTAGCAACAAAAATGGGCCAATGCAATATCCATTAATACAATGCAAAGAAAAGCTAGCTGCAAGATAGTCTTTTTTTTCTTCTTTTTTTTTTGGTACTGGGGATTGAACTCTGGACCTTGTGCTTGCAAGGCAGGAAGTGGCACTACTGAGCTAAATCCCCACCCCTGCAAGATATTGTTTTAAAATTTCATTCACTTGTTACTTTTTAATTTGATATAATTTCAGATTTTGCCCTTTCTTGCATGCATTCTTTCTCATCTTTGCCTGTGAAACATATTCCATTTGATCATAGTGTATTCTTTTCTTATGTGGTGCTGGATTTTCTTTAATAATATTTTCTGTAGTATTTTGGCTCCAGTATTTATAAGTGATGTTGGTCTATAATTTTCAGTTTTTTGTGTTATCTTTATCAGTTTAGCCATAGTATTTTTCTTGCTTCATAAAAATATTTGAAAGATTTTCCTCATTAGTTATACTATGGGATAATTTATGTAGCATTTGGACTCTCTGAATAAATGAATGATTTGGTAGAATTCATCAAATTCTGTGAAACAGTCTGGGTATGGGGTTTTTCTGTGGCTTTGCTCTTTGACATCCTTTTCAATGTTTTTTTCTCCTATGGAAATTGGTCTAAGTTTTTCAGGTTGAATGGGGTCAATTTTAGTAAAATATATTTTCCCAGGAATTACCTGTTTCTCTACATTTTAAAACCTACTTACACAGTAGTTTGCAAGGCAGTTTTGTTTAACTTTTTGGATTTTCTTATGATTACATCTCCCTTTATTTTCATTTTCTTTTTTTCTTTAAGTTACCTAGTGATTTGTCTGTTAGTGCGGCCATCTCATTGTCCATAGGGCCTTAGTTCCTGGACACAGACAGATTAGCAAAATCTGAAGCTGTCTGAATCTTTCATGTAAGTGGTGTAGTATTTGCATGTAACCTACAGGCATACTCCTGTCTAATTTAAATAAGTACTTATAATATCTAATACAACCTAAATACTGTGTAAATAGTTGTTCTGTTACTTAGGAACAATGATAAAAACAAAGGTATGTACATGTTCATTACAGACCCATTTTTTTTCCAAACAATTTTGATTTGAGGTTGCTTGAATCCATAGATAAGGAGCTAATGGTTGCAAAGGGCTAAATGTTTCCAAGATACTGGCTTATTAGTTGTTTCTAACATTTTTCTTTCTCAGCATCGGGGATTAGCAAACTGTGGCTGATGGGCCAATCTGGCCAGTCACCTGTTTTCATAAAAATAGTTTTACAGAACAAGGGGAGAGTTGAGTAGATGTGTCAGAGTTGTCTATACTAGAAAGTCAAAAATAATTATCTGGGCCTTTCTAGAAAAAATGTTCTGATTCTTGTTTTAAGTCATTAATTTCTAATTCCATACTTACTATATCCGTTCTCATGTTTTCTTTTGTTCTACAAAAGCGGTTGCATTCCATTTTCTTTGTGATTGTGGCTTTAGCTTTAAAAAAATGGCCTTTTTTGTCATACTTAATGCTTTTGACTTGAATTCGACTTCATCTTATATCAAGACTGCAAATCCTACTTTCTTATAATTTCTATGTATCTAATAAATCATTGCCCATTACTTTAGCTTTTCTGACTCATTTCACTTTAAATGTCTCTTCTATACATAGCATATGATTGAATCTTTATTGCAAGTCAAATTGAGAACCTTTACATTTTTTAATAGGTAAGTTAAAAAAAATTTTTTTTTTGGTACCAGGGATTGAACTCAGGACCTTGTGCTTGCAAGGCAGGCAGCAGAACCACTGAGCTAAATCCCTGGCCCCAAATTAGCCATTTATACCAGTGATTTTTTTTTTTTTTTTTAAATACCAGGGATTGAACTCAGGACCTTGTGCTTGTGAGGCAGGAGGTGGCACCACTGAGCTAAATCCCTAGCCTAAATTTTTTTTTATAGTTACTGATGTTTGGGTTCAGATCTGCTCAACTGTTTTAGGTTTATGCTATATTTTCTTTTTTGTGTGTGTTTTTTTGTTTTTGTTTTTTGAGACAGGGTCTCACTATGTAGTTGAGACTGACCTAGAACTCACTATGTAGCCCAGGCTGGTTTTGAACTCATAGTGATGTTCCCTGCCTGAGCCTCCCGAGTGCTGGGATTACAGGCCTGCACCACCACGCCCAGCCTATGCTATATTTTCTGTATTTCTCTTTTCCATGTGGTGTGCTTTCTTTGCTGTTTTGCCTTTGTGCCTTTAAAAAATGCTCTTTCTTCTATGTAACTTTTCACCCTCTCATTTGCCTATTTTTATTAGTTTAATTCTCATGTATTGCATTTGTGACTTTAAATTAGTTTATTCTGTTTCTTTTTTCTCTGTCCTTTTTCCTCCTAGTTTCAATTGTGTTATTTCTGCTTTATCAAAACATGCATAGTTTGTATATTTTTACTTCATCCTGACTCATCTTTATTTTAATCTTAGAGCTGCAGTTTAATATGGCAAATGTTCATCATTACTTCTTTTACTAAAGTTCTCCCCAGTTATCTGAGTTTTTTTTTTTTTTTTAGTTTTCAATCAAGCTTTTAATGAAAGATTATAAAACAACAGTTTCTCATCACTGTACATTAAGATTATGCTTCTGAATGGGGAGATCAGTCTGAGTTCTTGAATGTTTAAAATTGCTTTCTGTCGGGCATGTTGGTGCATGCCTGTAGTCCCAGAACTTGGGAGGCTGAGACAGGAGGATTGCCATGAGTTTGAGGTCGGCCTGTGCTAATGAGCTCAAGGCTAGCCTGAACTACAAAGTGAGATCCTGTTTAAAAAAATTTTTGTTTTCTATTGCCTTGAGACATGAGAGGCAGCTTGGCTGGATATAAATATCATAGCTCATACTCATTTGATTTGAGTTAAAAAAAATTCAGAGTTTTTTTGCCATGGTTTTTGTATAGTGTTTGAGGAGTATCATATAGACAGATTCTTCTGCCCTTGGATCTTTTGTTGTTTATTTATTTGAATGGAGCCTCAGAAGATTTTTTAAAAAAATTTATCTCTAAAGCTTTATAATTTTACTTAGGTAAGTTTTGGGGTTGATTTTTCTGGATCAGCTTCCTTAGGTACCTATGTATCCTTTTACTATTTATATTCTGTTCTTTTTATTTTTGTAAAGTTATCTTGAATTACAGCTTTAAATATTTATTCTGT